TTGAGTTTCTTCCCTTGGGCGCTTGGATGGTACTCAGCATTGAAGAGGGGGATGCGTGCTAATCAGATTAGTTTGCTTCTGCAGTCGTACGTGGAGACAGTGAGCAGTGTCCCATATTTAGCCCCCGCCGATGTGAAACAAGCTTTAACCTCTCTTCTCAATGCAATTCTGGGCTCTTTAAAGCGCAAAGGCCAAACTGGATACAACTCATACTGGTGTAAACTAGACCTGAGATTCTTCCTGCATGATAACCTGGAGGAAGTTTCAAAGTTTTTACAGAGAAAACCTTTAAGCAAAAATATCAGAGAAGATGGAGCTGCTTTTAGAAAAGCAGAATAACATATTGACTATTAAATGCATTATTTACAACAGCAATGTTGATTTCTACACCATGACTCTCCTTGAAATATTTCCAAACAGGTCAAGTCGTCTAATTGCATTATGGCAATGTATTAAATCAGTTTATGCCTTGATACAGACAACCAGATCAGATCAAATCAATTCAAACCACAAACTAAACAAGTTCACACAAAGCAACAGACCATGTTTAGCTCCAAGTAAAGATATCTGCACCACAAAAGCAACAATTTCCATTTTTGTGTGAGACCTGAAGCTGCACAACATAACATCACCGTCAACAACAAGCAACTTGGCTCACTTAAAAAATATAAAATACGATCCAATTTATTTTTGAAAATAAAAGGTATATTATTAAACACTTTAAAAATATAGCTACATTTACACTCAAAGGAAAATTGCAGAAACTAGTAAACAATAGTTAATGTTGGGGGTCTTCTAATGACTTTAATAGAAAGTGCTTTTATTTTGAAAAACATTGCTTATAAATTATATTGAGTTAATTTTGACCTAAAGCTGTTTAATAGCTGGACATGTATGTATTCACTGATATGACACAGCAGCAAACATTCACAAAGGTGAACAAATCAAACGCACTTTTCACAGCACAATAAGATGAGAGCTTAAATTAAACCAGACGAACTCAAATGGGAAACGCCACACCTCTTTCAAATATGCAAAACAACTCTCGCTGTCACCAAAATACCTCGTCATACATGCTACAACTGGAGAGCTTTTAGGAGACTTCTCTCTTTTTGGCTAGGTTCAGTCAACTTTCTTATTTCTATAGAGAACAAGCGACCAAATGTCTGCCAAAGCAAACTACACACGTAATATATAAGACAATAATACAAAACCCAACACATTTCCACAACAAACACGTGCTAACCGGCAACTGCAGCGAGACATTGAGGAAAAGCCTATTAAAATATTATATAAATATGACTCACAGTTGACGTTGACTCTGACGGCGGCCTTGTTGACAAAACTTCGCCCATGAATTGCTTCCAACGACGCTCCTGTGGACAAAAACACAAACAAAATGTTTTCCAACTTGTTTTTCTTCAAATGTTCTTATCGGTCGTGTTTTATTGTTTATACTAACCTTTTGTTTTGCTTCATAAAATGTCCAAAAAGCGCCGCGTCGATATCCAGCTTCCGTGCAAAACTTTAGCTTTTAATTAGAGTAAAATTTCACCTGGCGTCTTTTTCGCGAGGCTGCAATTCCGTCCTCGGCCACACCAGCAGGATAGTATGGAGAACACATTGCAGCCCAGAGGGGCGCTGTTTCACGCTTTCCATTCTGCCAAAAATTCAACTAAAATTAAACCAATAACAATCAAAAAAATACATTTTCACCAGTCGGTGTTAAATAATCAGCTGAATTGCAAGATATGTAATTTGATTTGTCCCTGACTAAGAGATTGGGATATAATAAAATGGATGGATTATCAGTTCAAACTGCCTACAGTGGATTCAGAGAACATTTCTTCTGAATTGGCAGCATGAGTAAAAGTGTTTACACTTCTTAAAGTTCATCACAAGTTTATTGTGGTAGCCAAATAACAATAACTGTTAAAGCTTTATATATTTTTATAATAAAATAAGGTGCAAAAATAATAATTTCCAGTGTGTTTTTGTTCATTTTTTTACTTGAAATTCAGCAGTGACCGAGAATAAAATGTATTTGGATATAACATTGTTCATGCGTACTCACCAAGACGCCTACACCACCCTCACTTTTCTGCCAACCGGAGCACTGAGATTGTTCTGCGTTGTATTGTATTGTATTTGACTCCATTGTGTGTCAGGACGTTGACGAGTTTGACAAAAAAAAAAAACATGACAAGACAAGAGGACAAATGGAATTAAGTTTCTGCACAATTTCCCTCACGTATAGAAAACACAGAGGCAGAAGGTGATGGAAAATTTAAGAAAGGAAAACGAGAGAAAAAAAGAGGTAAATAAAATCTGAATACTTTATTTAGCGAAAGGACATCACAGACAGACTGAATGTATAAATCGTTCTTGTGTGTGTGTGTGTACGTCCATCCTGAAACCGTTTCCCTTTAAAAGCGAGGCCACACTAATGAGAAAGTCCCTTTGTTGTGCGGCACAGGAGTGGCCCTAAAAACCCGAGATCTAAACAATCAGCAGCAAATAACAGCAATTTCACAGCTAATTCATAGATTTCACGTGTGAATGCCCCCATTGCCACCCTTCATTTAATGCTGTGAAAAGAGACAAGTGTGACATTATAACCACAGGATCAAACTGTGGGTGGGGGGCAGAGGTCAGGCTCTAATGACTTAAGTCTGGTTTGAGTGTTAGACTTGCATCCACAGAAGTTGGTTGTGGCAGACTGCACAGCTCCTTACATAGGGGGCGTGACATTTACACACTAAATGTTGCTAATGTTAGCATTGCAGCTGACAGGACTGCACTTTTTCAGGCATGTGATGTTAGATTAAGGTGACTAAAAAGCTTACTTTTGTCATATTTAATGATCTGAAACATTTGAGTGTGACAAAAAGAACAAATCTGAAGAAATGTGAAGTGGGGCACTCAGTTTTTCACACTATTGTAAATGCGTCAAGTTGCACATTTACTTTTTGTCGTAAAAAAAAAATTCTTGACGAATTAGTCGCTTGAGCTGGAAATGTTTGTCATTTGCAGCCTTGAGCACTTAATAAAATATTTAATGCTACATCAGGTAATGGGCTGATGCAAAAATAAATTTTAACCATAAAAAAAGATAGACGAGAAGCCATAGTTGTGTTAAAAAATATAACATTTTTATTTTTATTTCTAAAACATAATAGACAAATTTTTTGCATGAATTTATTAAAACTAAAAAAGAAAACCTGCAATCCTTTATTAAAGAGGATTAAAATGATTATTGACTAAGACCCTAAAACCTCTTCAAATCTAAAATAATACTTGTTAATTTACGACACAAGTAGGAGGATTTTTGTTACTTTTAGACAGCTTTCTTTTTTTCCCGGTTATTGCCACCCTTTGTGCTAATTTAAGTCAGCTACTTAGTTTAACTTTCAGAAAGAGAGCATGTAATCATAATCCGGGAGAAGCTAAACTTTTTCCCTTAACCCTTATTTCACAGTCAAACACGACTTTCTCTAGGTGCCTGGCAGTTTAATGGGATTACAATCTATAGAAATCTTGTATTTTTAACAAATTACCTGTTGCTGAAGATGCTTGTAGCGCTTTGCGCTTGCATATCACTGCCAGTCGGCGTTTAATTGAGTGAATCTGCTAAACATACTTCAGTAGGAGAACACACCAATGTGCTTCCAGCTATCCGTCCCCAAGCAGCTCAAGGTGAGTCTAAAGAGGTGATGAAGAGAACTTGGCTACACCTTTAACTACGCCACCCACACGCCTATATATTCTAGAGTGTGTTCTAAGTAATGCAGCCTAAAAACAAATTGCAAGGTAGACACACTGCATTATTTATATTTGAAGTTTAAAGTGGTTTTAGATTTGACAAAACAGGCCGTAAAAAGACTTTGGTGGTTCTGCTCGTTTCGCAAATGACTGAGTGAGTCACTGCGCTTCAACTTTTGATGAAAATCCTGCTCAAATGCACAAGATGAAAATGCTCTGCCAGTTTTCTCCATTTGCTTCCCTTCAGTGAATTTTTATTTTATTTTTTTTATAACTGTTGCCCAGATTTCACCTCTGACAGTCTTGCCCTAGATATTTCTCCCATCCTTGTCAGACGCACTCGCAGGTCTCATCTGCTGCCAGCTGTGGAGGAGAGGACGTGGAGATCAGCGCAGATGGGATGTGAAAAGGATGACGGGAAACCAATCGATCCAAATCCTTCATCCTAATCTTGTTGACGTCCTCGGATGGAGCAGACAGCAGCCCTGCAGCAACTTTAGGGAGAATCTATAAAATACATTTTCATATCCCCCCCCACCTCTTAGCTTCATGTAACATTTCAAGAAAAACTGGTTCAAGTTTGCAGCAACGTGAGCAAATAGCTCAGTTCAACCTTCAGATTGTGTCTGAACAGCTTTTAAAACTTTTAAGATTTGCTTGTAGCTTTAAACACAAGCATAAAAAATACTCTACTGCTCCCTTGTGGCTTTTGCAAAAACTGCACCAATAGAAAAATCCATTGCCACACAGGTCAATAAATTAGAAGTGAACTTATTTCTACAATTCCACAGAAAAAGTAGAGTTATGACAATTACTTTGAATAGCCACTCTGGGACCAGTTTATGCAGAGACAGTGGCATATTTTAAACATTTATGTCTCAAATGCTCAAGACAACAAAGTTTCTCAGAAGAAGTTGATTCTTACAGAAGACCAAAATAAGTATTTAAAATTTAGTGGAAGGAAAAAGTGTGGCAGAAAATGGCACTGGAGCGACATGGACGTGGTTGCAGCTTTTAAGAGATTTATGAAGCAAAGGTTTGGTGGCGATTCACAGGAAGTTCATTAAGAGTCACCATCTATCCAGGAAACTGGCGAGATGTCAACATTCTTGTGAAAAGTCACTCCTGAACCAGTTGTAATCAATAATTAAAATGAACAGAAATATAAAACTATTGAACTGAAATAAACTTTGAAAACATTCTAATTTTGATACATAAACGTGTCTAAAAAAAAAAAAAAGAAATCAAAGAAAAGTGTTTTTTTCCCCATACATCCACTTGTGGCTTTTATTTTGGAGCAAATGTACAATCATGTGCCATTGAAAGCTAAAGAAAAATTGGCAAAAAAAAAAATAAAATAAATCCACAGTATAATCTTCACAATACTCTGAAAAACTGTATACAAAAACACCCCAAAACTGTACAACAGTTAGCATAAACTGCATGTAGGCTATGTACTGTTTATATTTTCGTCTTTACGGTATCTGAGTGTACAGCAGTTAGGCGATACCATTAGTTAACGAGACGGACAGATTTTTTTTACAATGATGCATTGCAAAACAGAAATGGTAGCATTCTGTCTGAAGGTCGCCGATTCAGAAAGTCTCGCGCCAGCATAACAGAGTCGGGTACGACCCCCGACTCATGGCTTCAAACGCTTCTACAGCAAAGTGTCACTCCTCATCTGATGCGAATGGATGCAGGGTTGCGTCTGAACGTCGGCTAACGCCACAGAAACAGGCTGTTTGCATTCGAAGCTACGCACAGATAAACACGTTGGTGCATTGATGTTTGGTAGCAACAAATTTGGGAGTCTGAATGACACGGCTACATACATAAGACATGTAAAAACTGTCTCTAAACAGTAGAAAACCATCTAGTATTGCAGTTTTCAGGTTCCAATATTTGTCTGATTTAGGTGGAAATTTAACATTAATTATATTAAAAATTCTCCCAACTCTTAAGGTCAACTTTTACTTTTAGCTCTGACATGACATTAAGAAGATGAGGCAATTTTTTTAAAGCTCCAGTATTTTAACAATTATCTAAACTTGACTGTGTTGCATTTTCTTCGTCATGTCCTCCACATTTATTAGGACATGTGGTAGAAATGTGCAAAAAAAACCTCGCCTCATATCAGCCTCTTATTCCAGTAACATGGTCATTCTGCTTTCAACAAGTGTTTGAAAGCAAAAACTGAATTTTAGCTGTAAAATTCAGGCATTTGCTTTAATTTTAAGAGTTAAAGCAGGAAACGACGACAGCGCGTTTCACAAAAATGTCCTTTACAGAACTGAAAGTAATACAAACGTCTCAGAGACAGGCATAGAAATAATACAGAAACAGATCGTAGCTAATTTGGTCACCGACGGAATCAACTTAAACTCGCTTTTAAACTCATTTCTCCGCGTTTGCATCTACGCGGCCATGCTTTGCGGAGCCTTTGTACCATCCAAATCCTCCACCAACACATATCAATGCACCGTAAAGCATTTAAACAATCATTTATTTCATAAACTAGCACAAGGCACCTAACGTAAAGCAGCTAAAAGTATCTCTACTGTAGCAGCAACAAGGCTTTGGTTCATCGAGGTCCTAATCAAGTCATTTAAAAAAAAAAAACAGCATCTCTGCTCTGTCTCATGATGGATGGAGAGATGAATCAATGGAGGAATGCTGCAAAGGAGGAGCAGGAGGGGACAGTGGATAGTGATGATGATGATAAGACAGATGGAGGAGGCTGTAGCAGAGGTGGGAAACCTTCCACAGCGTTTCACCAGCACAGAAGAAGAGAAAAAGAGAGACACAGCTACAAAGAGAGAGGAGAATTGTAACATTATTTTGTGGCTTTGGAAAAAAAAAAAAGTTAAAATTAACTACAGTAATTTTAATCTAACTACTTAGGAGTTGGGGATTTGTTTCATTTTTAACTTTATTCTCTGTTGCTAATCAGTCATTTTATTAGTTTTCAAAGCAGAAAAGTAATTTTAAATCGCACTATTTTGATAAAAAAAAAAAAAGAAGAAAAAAACCCTTTTGAGGACAATAAAAATGGAAATATCCAAATATGGAATATGACTTCATATCTGTAATGGCACCATCCAGAAGGCTGTGAGCACTCTGCTACAAAGATCCTCTACAAAGGGGATTTTGGTGATCTAACAAGCTGGCAGCAACATGTCTGTTCAGCAGCAGACTGCAGGCTAGCGACCTGAGAAGAAAGCTAGAATAATCAGCCATCTAAAAATCAACTTGCACTCCCAAAGGTACTCTAACGTGAACATATCATAAGTTGTTGCTGCTTCAATAACAGTAGGAATAGTTATTGATTTTTATTTTTAAATAAATGCATTGATTCTTTGGAGTTTTTAGTCAAGGTCAAAGTTTTCATATGGTGTGAATGATAAATTTCCCTTATTTTGAATAATGTTTTGGTGCCTTAAATAGATAATAGATAATTTCATAACCATCAAGGTAGTTATGAAATTGACTTTAGGTTTGTTTTATTGTTACTAAAGCTTTTTTGCTGATCTGATGAGGTACCTACCTCAGAAGGCAGTCTTTAGTGAAGACATTAAGACTTTGGGGCACTTTGAGTTTCTTTGTCATTAGGAAAAGATTTGGGAATTATTTTTAGATGCTTTGATAAGCAAACAAATAAGGCAACACTGAACCATTTCTACTAGAGATGCAACAATCATTCTGAATCAGCTACTGTTCACTACAAACAAATCAAGAAGAATCTTGTATCTCAATTCACCTTTTTTTAGTTTAAATAAATACTAAAAAAGCCAAATAGATGTACTTTGATCCATATAAATGGAATCAAAGAGTTTTCATTTTATTCAAAATGAAAACTCTGGAATCTGCAGGTCAAATCTCAATAAAAGCCAGAAATCCGAACCAGATTGGTGCACCTCTAATCTCTAGCAGCTAAATAAAGGAGCGTTTATACAACCTGAAGCTCGGAAAACAAAACCTTCTAGCTTTACGACGCCCACATCTACGCCAGATACCAGACAACACAACCTACAGGTAGCAGGAAAGCTTGAAAGTGGAGTCGAAGTCGGTCTTTGTTTTTCTTTTGCTTGTGCATCAAGAGATTTTCCCAAACAAGAACCAACTGATTCTCCGGGCATTCAGGCTTTCCTTTCTCTGCTACACGCCTCCTTACAATGCAGTAGGATCTGCACGCAGAGCCCTACGAAGAGTTTCTGGACAACATGCTTGCACACAGCCAACAGTGGTTAGTCCTAGAGAGAGGCAGGTTGGGGCAGAGAGCAGAGAGTTAGAGACGAAGCAGCTGAAGACGACAGAATGAGACGAGTCATTATTAGAGTAATAATAATAATCCCAGTCGATACTTAAACAGTTCAAAGAAATAACAGATGAAGTACACTTTAGCTGCCACTGAAGGCAGATACTATTAAAGGGCCAGTGCACATATTTTAGAGTGAAATCACAGTTCTCAAGTCTCTTTGTTTTGAGGGTTGTGTCTTAAATCCACTGAGCCCCAACGAGGCAACATGTCCAACTCCAGCTCAGAGGCTCCGGGACTTTAAAGCCAAACCCTTTTTTTGCCGAGTTCAGCTCGTTTTTATTTGATAAAGTATAAAACAAAACACCCCACAAAAACAAAATAAATTAGACTGAGGTCTCCGGCCCCGCCCCGTTGTAGGCGTTCCCCGGCCTCGGGTGACGGGAGCCGTCAGTAAATCGTAGCAGGGGGGCGAAGGTGCGATAGTTTGGCGCCCTTTGCCAGCGTGTGAACATGATTTTCTTGTTTGGGGTGTCACACCTTCGAGGGTTCCTTTGGGTTGCCGAGCCTCGCTGGGGGTCGCCGGCCCTGGGCGGAGGGTGGAGAGCCGCCAGGGGCGTGAACTCTGACAGCTGGCCCTTGTAGAGCTTATCAGCGCTCTGCGTGAGGAATGAAAGATCAAAAATAAGACGAAAACATTTGGCGTGCTGCAAATAGTTTGAAGAGAGTAGATGAAGGTGACACGGCAGGAACAGAGATTTCTTGAAGCGTCATAAAATACAACAAAGTATGCAAATTAACATAATCTAATGGGAAAACTGTCCCACCTTAATGCCACCTTTACATGAGTTAGCAAAACAAACTACAAAATTCAGAAAAATACATCATGCAAATGCAAATCCAACCAACTGAGCATGCAAGAGTGAACACCTGCAGTCAGAATAAACACTTGTTTCTGCAGCCGTAAGATCCGCCACCAGATGACGCCAAACCCTCATATGAGAAGTCAAACGCTTGACGGGTCTTCATAACCTTTGAACTTTTTCATCTTTCACGAAATATTATTGTATTTCACTGTGATTTAATGTGAGCACTGCATAATTATCCAAAGCGAATTGAAGCACAGATGTCAAAATGAAGGTCCGGGGGCCAAATCTCGGCCACCTGAGGAACACAAGAGAACCTTCAAGTGTGCGTCAAATATTTTGTTAATCAAATCAAATTGCATGCATGTGAAAAGATGTTCAATGTTCATTTTAACAACTCACAGCTATTTAGTAATATTTTAGTAATCTAATCTTGCTTTTTTTATAGGCTCCAATTATAAATTGCCCAAATTGTAAATGAGTTTGACACCCCTGGCAGAAAAGTTTGTTCTAACATGAAAAAGTTCAAGAGACATGAGTGTTTCACATTTCCTGGTGGACTGCGTTTGATGACAATTCAAAATCCCAGATTTATGTGAGTACAGCACCACACCCTGGCAAAAAGTAAACTAAAAATACATCAAATAAAAATCACTCCACCAATTTGAAGCTTTACCGTGAGATAACCTTTTAGGTTTCTGTGAGAGCTATTCCATCTAGTAATGAGTCTGAACTGTGGGAGGCCATGGCCCTCTCAAACCTGGTCAAATCTCTGCCATGCTGCGGATACACAAGCAAACATCCTGTGTTTGGGAAGACATTTTAAAGCGACAGGCTTGATGGCGTACAAAGGAAGCAGGAAGGAGATGCAGGAAAGGGAGACAATGAGACAGGAAGAGGAGAGGCAGAAGATCACCTCGTGGAGGACGGGGCTTAGAAACTGATTCTGCTGGAGGTCTGAGACAACATGAAGATGGTGGAAGGCTCAGAGGCAAGGCACCGACGCTTAGCCTTCCACAGAGGAGGAGAGGGGGATAAAGAAGGAGAAGAACCAGCAGGGTGGAGGGAGGAGGAAAAGGAAAGAGTTACAACTTTGTAGGTCAAAAAGTCACTATCAGTTCTAAGAGAGTGGAAGCAGAAATTAACTCATAAAAATGAGCAAATGTTAGCTTATTATCTTAAATGTATATTATAATTTTGTATTCATTTTAATAAATAATTAAAGAGGTTTCCTTATATCGGATTTTTTAACACACTACAGGTAATTCAATGGGGAGATGAGCTCCAGGTGTCACGATAGATGTTCTGACAGCATCTCAAACTCAAAATATTTAAATTTTCTCTTCGAAGTGAATGATTTTGTTATAGTTTACGACAATCTTTGGGACGCTTGTTTACAACAGGTACATTTGTAATGAGGAAATACATGAGGCAGGAGTTGAGATTTGTGTGCCTGCAGTACGTACCTGTATGCGTTCGGTGGTGGTGGGCCACAGCGCCCTCCAGAACACCTTCTTCACCACGTCTGGCAGCAGACTGGCTGTGATCAGCAGGATGATGCTGAGCCAGGCCGGACCGCTGGACAGCATCTGCATGAACACATAGTACATCCGCTGGTAGTTCAGGAAAGGCCTGGAGAATAACAAGAAAAACAAATTAGACACATAAATGTAGTTATTTATAAAGCACTAAATGCAATATATATTTTTTAATTTACCAAATAATTCCTCCCCACAGCAGAGAGAAGACTACAAAGAAGACAAGTGAGCCCCAGATGACAAAATGGTTGATCCACGTCCAGTAATGAGTGTCGAGAGCCAACTGTAATAAAAAATGAATAAAAAACAGGTAAATGTCTGCTCATAATGGCAGCTTTAAGGTAACCTGCTGTTATCGTGTTACCTTCAATGTAACAGTGAAAACGAGCACAGTGAAGACCAGAGTCCCAAACGTCCAGTTTCCAAACATCTGCAGATAAAACGCAGTAGCAGCTGTTATTGTCACGTTTCTGTTTGTTGCATTAAATACAATCAAAGTCAATAATATGAAGTGTTAGTATGATGCCATGAGACAATAATATGTGTGACAGTCTACGTTATAGATGCTACTTGTTGAAAATTTGCTACGGTATGCAGGTGCATCCCAAAAAATATTTATTTTTGGCCATTTGAAAAAACAAAACAAAACAAAAAAAAAACAGTAAAAAGGGAATATTTATTGATAGAATTTTTAATTTTTTTACATTGTGGTCTACACAATCTCATTTGAATACAAATTCGTACTTAGATTATAAAAGCAGGTAGTGAGGATATGTTTTTTTATTCTACCCACTCCTTTTTCTGCTTTTTCTTTGTTTTATTTTTGACTATTTTTAATCTGTGTTCAAATAAAATCACAGTAAAGATTGCTGCCTTGACTGTTGTTCAGCAAACAGTGATTAACTCCTCAATAAGTGCTACATTTAAGGTTATTATTTATTGGAAAATTGTGTGGAAGGAGAACATTGTACAGAGAATTCCTGAACTGGGAACATCAGAAAAATCTGAACTGCTGGTTTTGAGGAAGTGTTCAGCTTCTTGATGTCCAGTGGGATTTGGGCGCCATATTATTTTTATTTTAATAACGCAACAAATGTTTTTGTTTGAATACATTATGTTCTAATTGATTGAGATGCACCTGTCTTTAGGAGAACAGTTTTCAGAAAGGAATCAATCAATCAAACAGATGGCAGGTAACAATAATCAGGTGAGGAGTTGGTCATCAGATGACTGACGGATGTAAAATGGTAAACCGCACTTCTACGTTCCAAGAACAACTCAAGCTTGACAAAATTAAAACTGCAAACTTTTAAACCGTCACCATGTCTTTCAGCAGATTCACTGAACCCAATCATTATTTACACTGGAAATGAAAGCTGGAGGTGGTGCACCAACAAAGATCTTCTTGAATGAAACTCACACACAAAATGGAACATTTAGAGCAGATCTACATCTCTGATATAAAAGTAAGTCAATGTATAATGCAAACATGAAAACAGTTTAAAGAATCATACAACTTTGGAAGTTCACTTTGGTCTTGAGTGCTGTCTGACTAGTTGTTAGCATTAGCATCTAGGGCCAAAACATCTGGTAAAAAAGGCCAAGAGCATCAGCTTCTGCAGGTCAACTATTACGCATCACAGCATCCTCACTTTGAATCACATTTATTTGCCACAAACATACTTTAAAATGCATTTTGTTTGCAGAATTAGCCCCCTTTCTAAGCCTCATAAGCTGAGAAATATCTTTAAATGAAGGATGAATGATGTCAAAGATGAGAAATAATGGTAGTTTATTATCCATCCACTCATTTAACACATAAAAGATGCACAGAGAAATTTTTGGACAACACAAATCTAGAATCTTAAAGGAATGTACATGAGATGAAAGTGAATGCTGCTCTATCCGTACGTTAGATGGGGAAGAAACGGGGAGCTGGAGGGTGAAACTATGGTGAGGTGGCAGAGAGACAGGGACAGGCTTACCATCTGTGTGTTGGTTGTCATTAGCTGGGAGGAAGAAAGACAAGCAAAAAGAAAAAGCAACACAAAGGTAAGAGTATAAGAAGAAAAATAAAGAGGTAGGAAGAAAAGTATAAACTTTGTAGCTGAGGAAAAAACAAATGAGATTAAAAAAAGATTTGTAGCAAAGGAGCAACTTAAGATGGTTAAAAGAAATCATGAAAAGAAACTCAAAAATAACAGAAGAAGACAGAAATGCTTGAGCAGCGATCCGGGAACCTATTTAGATTTCAGCTTTTGATCCAACTTGTAAGATCATCTATTAGGGCTTTGGTGTATTAGTAGAATAGATAGAAGCAATATTAAGTGGATTACCACTGAATATGCTTACAGTATTAATATTAGAATAGGAACAAAAATGAAGGACTACCAGCAAACGTTAGATATCTCCAAAAGGTGGTGAAACAGGCAATAAGCAGATAATTACAATGTAAAAAAAACATAAATGACCATTGTTGTAGACAAATCAAAAAATGGGAAAAGTGGAAAATTTGAAAGTTGTCCTAATTGAACAAATATTATTGAGATGTCATGAAACAGAGTTGGATTTTGGTCAGACAGAGGGACCAATATAGAGGCGTCAGCGTTACCTGTCCGTTGCTGGTGAAGGTGGTGTTGTCAAACAGGAAGTAAGCACCAAAGAACATCACAATGGCGTCATACACACCCAGAACAGTCCAGTATATGAAGATGGGCCACGTTAGTAATGAGTTCTTTGCTATATCTCTGATGAAGACAAGATTCACAGTCAAACTCAAAACCTGACTGGATTTAGAAATCTTCACATACTTTTTATTTTAAAACATTCAGAGTGAATTTGTTTTATTACCTTCATGTTTCACCTTTATTTTTCCTAAAACTAAAAGTTACCCCTTTGGTAAAGCTACGATAGGATTAGGAAGCTGTTGTTCTCACACTACTTCTCTCCTCTATGCAAATCCAGACCCAGACTATATAAACCAACCTGTAAAGCGTCGGCTCCTTCTTCAGGATGTCCATGTTGATGTGCTGCTCCATGAGGCTGTAGAGGAGGATGGGCAGCGACGTGAAGCTGATGTTGTAGAGAGTCAAGTAAGCTGTGTCGTACAGCGGCTGTTGAGAAAACAAACCAGCGTTTGTCTTTTAATCTTTATTTCTGAATTTCTTGCATCAGTTTTTAACAATTTGTCATAGCCAACCTGCTGGGAGAAGCCACAGAAGAACTGGTAGAGGAACTGGGGAAAGATGAAACAAACATTCTGGGGGGGGAAGAAGAAAGTTTATGAGATTAAAGGAATGTATAAATGTCTCAAATTTGAGTTTTGACGTAATGCAATGTGGATCACCTTGTAGAAAAAGTATTGCACGAGTTCAGAGATGCGTATGTAGTAGTAGTGTCCATGAACAAGCAGCATCTTTTTGAGGTGTTTAAACTTTGGGATAGCGTAGTCACTGTTTCTTACTGCCTGGCGACCCTCTTTACCCATGATGCCTAGAGTGAAAGGTGGATCAAACAAAGGACGTCATCACTGTAGTTAAATACATTAGCTAAATCAGTCATCAATCAGTACAAAATGGTGCATGGTTTTGATAAAAATATCATCATCAAGCCCAAACCTGAATCAAATCAAAATGAACAAGTTGCTAAAATATTTTGAATAATAGCATTGGCTAAAAGAAAAAGTAAATCAGTTTGTAGATGTTTAAAGACCAAAATATTTGTAGCTGAAATTGCAGACAGTATTGACTCAGAAGGGATCAATTCAGTTTTAATTTGTAAAAATCTAATATGTATTTTTTTTTATTTGGCAGTGATAATCCAAACAGACTGTCTTATAAAATCCAATAGCATTCACCAAAGTTGTGGTTGCACTGTGGAAGAATGTAAAAGGGATGGAAAGCAATGAGGCTGGTGAGAACAAACCAAGGGATAAAAGGCAAACACCAACAAAATGGAAAGGATTGAAACAAAGTCGCATGCAACTATTAAATGTTTGATTGAGTTTTCATTGTTTGCTTATGCTGGATAAACACCAACCGATGCCAACGTGGGCCTCCAGGATCATGCTAACATCATTTGCCCCATCTCCAATGGCGAGGGTGATTGGGTGCTCTTTGGACGATTTGATCATCTTGACGATCTGAAAACAAGAACCACCAGTGATTGACGTCGAAGCACTGACTAGATTTATTATGTTAATGCCTCAAAGGATTTCTACCTGTGCTTTCTGAAGAGGAGCCATTCGACAGCAGAGCACCGCACTGCAGTTGCGGCATATTTCTAGGAATATCTCTTTGTAATTCCCTGAGTTGGAGTCTTCCTGGCTGGGCCTCATCACGGCGGAGAGAGTGGCACCATCGATTATCAGGCCGTAGTCGGTGTACTCGCTGGATAAACTGGAAAGATGCCACAAACCAACGGTTTATATTTCCATTCTTTGCATTTCTACTTACATAAAGCAGAACAGAATCAATTGTGGTTACAAAAAAACGCACCCAGAAGAGGCGTCGCGCGGCATGGTTCCGTAATGCCGGAGCACCGTCCTGCTCAGCTCAAACAGGACATCATGCAGGCTCTGCTCCTCCGTCCGCTTGGTGGTGAGCTCCAGGATCTGGGTGCTGCGGCGAAACAGCTTGCTCGCGTAGCAGGTAGCAGCCGCGGTCTCCATCTTGTCTCCGGTCAGCACCCACACCTTCATGCCCGCCTTGTGGAGAGACTCTATGGTATCTGCAGCTTTCTCCTGCAGCCTGGGGAGGAAGCGCATGTTTGTTCATGCAAAAAGCATATAAAAAGAATCTGAGCATTTGAGTTGGCATTCTAACTCTGGTAGTTCAAAATAAAGTATATATTTTGGTAGTCTAACATTTTTTTCAGCAAGATGTGCCTATATTTGATCTAATTTAGCATTTTTCACACCAAATCTTCAAAAATTACATTTGACTTCCAGTGAAATACAGCAATTTTCTATTGTTTACTTTATAATTTGATAGGAAAAAATGTCTGTAATTCAAAGAAATATATGTCAAAAACAAGCAATTTTACACATATAAAAACTAATTTATTAAATTTAGTAAATAAATACAGACAATTCCCAATTTTGTAAATGGTGCCAACATGTGCAAAGAGAAAAACACCAAGGTATTTTTTATTTTTGCACAGGTAATATCCACAGGTGGATCTATGGTTTAGAAGAGTTTGTAATCTTGTTAATGATGGTTCTAAAAGGTTTATGTATTGTATAATAAAAAAATTAAAAAAATTCTAAATTATGTTCTCATTTTCTCTGAAACTATAGCAGCTGCTTTGACACTTATACTACTGATGGAGTTTCCAAATTTTAGCTTTATCTTGATACCAAGATTATTGAAATAGAGTTTGAAATTGTTGAGAAAAACTAAAATAGGTTTGTTATTTTAACCACATAATTCAGAAAACAATGTTGGGATAAGATAGAGAGCAAACATCTTTTTTTTAATGCTTATTACAAAAACATGCGCGCGTCACATTTTGTTCAGAACGGTTCCTTTAAAACTTGTGCTGGGATTGCTTTTGCTCCACCAGAGCATCCTGCTTTGGGATATTGGGGCTTGCAGAGTTTTAACGCAACACAACTCTCTACCTGTCCTCTACAGCGGTGGCTCCCAGCAGGATGAGGTCTCTCTCAATGAGGTCATACGCCTCGGCCACCAGCTTGTCCTGGTCCTGAAATTCCAACTTGGCCCTGGTCAGGAGGTGGCAAACCTGCTCGTACTGCTCCGGACTCAGCCGCCGATAGGCGACGCAGAGAGTCCTCAGGCCTTCCTGGAGGGAACACAGACAGACAGACAGACACGGAAAGGGCTTTGAAACATAAAGGCATTCGGTGTCGGCTCTGAGTAATAGTGTGCAGTGTGCGGGCACCAGGCTGACTAGTTCAACACCCACCACCTAGATTTCCATTTCCACTGAAAGCTGTGAACCGTCTGCTGCCGCAAACACTCAGAGAAAGAGAGAGGAACCTCTTTTTGACCTGGTTTTTACAGCCACTTTAATTCACTGGATCTACTTCAGCTGAACAGACACACTGACCTGAAACTACACTCTCACACAGTCACACCTGTTTCTTGAAAATATGTCACTTTAAAGAAGATGATTTGTGATATTTTAACTTGAGTTAGTATTTTTAGACAACTTTGTTGAAGCTGCAAAAAACAGAAATGGTTTCTAGCGCAAATATCTTATTACATTTGAAAAAAAAGACAAAACTGATTGGATTTGCACACGAGTGGTCGGTCTCCACCATTAGATTTTAACAATTCAAATTTTTTTAATTAGGTTTGCAGATTCTATAAAAAGTAAAATGTTTGCAATATGATTTGTGAATATATTCACACCCCTTGGATTGTTTGCATTTCATCAAACTCGACTACATATTCGCAAAAACTGAAAATTTATAATGTTTAGAGAGAAAATTTCGCTGATGTGGGCCATGCTTCACTGATTCACCTCCTGTGGTAACCTTGGAAACTGTGGTCAGGATGTAGCTGTGGAAACCACGAACGCTGTGCAGCTTTTACAGCTCAAATTTGCTTCTTATGAGAACATCTTCTGAGGAAACGTAGACGTGTAACTGTGTCATGTTTTTGTCCTCACCACTGCGTTTCGCTCCACCCGTGCTTTGACCTGCTCCACTTTTCCTGAGACGACTCTGGGGAAGATGGAGGAATCGGCTCCTTTGCAGAACAGGTACAGCTCACCTGCTCACAAAAACGGAGGAAAAACAAAGAGTAAGAGGAGAAAAAAAAACACACAAAAGCATAAAAATAAACAAAATATTTATACAGTTTTAGATGCGTTACCCGTGCTGGACCTGACAATGACGCTCATCCTCCGTCTCACAGAGTCAAAAGTCAAAACTTCGAGCAGCTCAAACCTAGTGTTAAAAATACAGAGCAAAATAACTGCAGCTGAGCTTATGAATAATGGACAAAAATATTTAAAATCTAAAGAGGAAACCTCAAATAAAAAGTCAAACATGATGCAAGGTCATCTTTTTATCCCAGCTAAAACAAAAATTGTTTGCGATGCCAAATAATGATGTAATACTGCAAAAACATTATGTTTTATGCACAAACATGCGAGTTCATTTATAGGCAGCACTGCTAGTTTCTGTAAAGTTTTAAGTAAATAAGACTGTTTTAAATGTCAGCACTTTAGAAGAAAAGTTCTGGTAAACTAAATCAAAGGACAGATTTTTACTTTACACAAAAGATCCAATTCATCACACACAATCTATACACTGTATTTAGTTATTTTTTCTTCACTTTCTACCATGTCAAATCATTTATTCATCAGACTACTTCATATTAGGACAATAAATGAATTGTGAATATGCACAACTTTTTGAGAAGTTTGAAATTTTCATGCATTTCTTTCTGTATTAATAATTAAATCATCGAGTAAAGAGTGTGAGACATTTTAAATAAAAAAACAATCCAGAGGTGGTGAGTGTTTGGGGTCACACTCACCTCTCTATCTCATCTTCCCTGTTTAAGATCTCCATCTGACCGTCCTTCAGCCGCAGATAGGTGAACCCCAGCCTGCAGCACAGAGCGTTTTAACAGGAGTGAGCGACTAAATGAGTTAGGGGGGACAAAAATCGTAATTCTTTATGCGTTTGTCTGCTTCACCTCTTCATGCCTTCCACCAGCGCCACCTCGTCTGGCGAAGAGGAGATGTAGAAGGAGGAGGACTTGCCCTGGTGGATGCCATGTTTGATCCCATCCACTGTCTCCTCCTCCTTCACCTGTACCGTGTGGCACAAACACAAGGCGCGGAAAAACAGCTCCTCACGCTCCTGTGGTGGATGAACAGGGCTGTTACACACACACACACACACACCCACGCACACACCCACACACACACACTAAAACCATCAGGGAGGAAATCCACTCACTCTGGCTTCAGGCCCTGGCGATGTGTCGATCATATCGATACCAGCAGCACCAGGCATCACCTTGCAACAACACAGGCCGAGTTTACGAATTATTCACACTTTGACTTATAAATTGTATTTTATAATGAGTTTTATCAAAAACACAAAATATCACTGACTATTTCAACAAAAGTTTATTACAGCTGCATCTGAATGTCATAGAACAGATAATTTATTTCAGTTTCAAGATGTGAAACTTTTATTACAGTAGATTTATATTACACAGGGAAGCATTGCAAATATTTATTTATGCTAACATTTATGATCATGGCTTAAATGTAGCAAAAAATATAGCTATGAAAACTGCAACTATTTGGATCAGAGGGATAATTTGGCATAAACGTTCTGTGAATAATAATTATTAAATAATAATATTATTACCTGCCCGTTACAGATGATATGAGGTACGTAAACGTTTCCGTCCACACAGCACTCTATGAACTCCATGTTGTTCTCGGTGAGAGTCCCAGTCTTGTCCGTGAAAATGTACTCCACCTGGAAAGAGCTGAGTTAATTCCTGCATCTTTACTTTTCTGATTTAAAGCATCTGAGGTTTCCTGCCGGATCTCTACCTGACCCAGCTCCTCGTTCAGGTCCGACGTGTTGACCACGGCTCGCTCGCCCAGCTCCTCGTCAAACATCTCATCGTCCCACATGATGAAATAGGAGCCCAAGAACTTCTGCATCTCCACGGTGACGTACATGGAGACGGGGATGATGTAGTTGAACAGCACCATGAAGGCCAAGAAGTCCGTGAACGCCCTGATCAGCTAAAGAAGAAAGCGACAAAGAAAAGCCTCAGAAACTAAAACGAAGAATTTGTCGCATCAGGAAGTTAGAGGAAGTTAGCTGAAAGCTCACAACGTGTCTTTGCCTCTCGCTCTCCGTCTTCTCGTTGTACCACGGCTCGTCTCTGTTGGGGTCGGCCTGCCACACGTACTTCAGCGCCGTGTTGATGACGGCTTTGCTGATGAGGATGCACAGGTAGACCACCAGGTAGGCGTTCATTGATCTGCAGGGGGAGACAATGAGCAGCTGGTGAGAATTCATTAGAAAAATGTATGTTATTTTAGTCTCACCATTTATCTACATATTACATACAGTACCACAGAAAGGAATGTATTTCCTTACTTTTTTGTTAAATTAACATTTAAAATTATCAAAGAAATTTCAATATGACACAAACATTTAATAAATAAAAATTTATGTAAATAATTCTTGATTTTTTTTTATTCTTTTAAGTTAGTTGTTGCATAATACTGTCACCCTGACAAACAAGAAGCTCAAATAAATCACCAAAAAGCACAAAATAATTTATGAACTTTCCAATCTGCACTGTTTCATAAATGATGGGCCCTCATTACTGATTCCCAACAAGACGTATTGTTTTAGGAAGAACAAATTCTGCTAAATTTATGAATATTGTATTCATATTTCTCCATAGAGACGCTGCTATTAAATCAATTAACTAAGAAATCCACAGTAGGAAAACCAGTCAGGCAGGTGCAGATAAAGCACTGGCCAAACAAAAAACATTCCTGTCGAGCCGAGTTAATTTTGGTAAAAGGAAGACAAATGCCAAATGACAGTAACAAACTGCAAATGAGATCCACCTACGAGCCATCTGGAGCGAAGACTCAATCAGCGCCAGATGGAAAGAAATAGAGTCTCTGCAGCGAGCCGCTGAGACTCACAAACCAGCAGTCGGTGAATAAAAGATTTGAGATGTGAACAGATGGGCATTAAACAAAAATTAGACGATTATCTAATCCAGTGTGAGAAAAAAAGATGATCAGGTTGCAGCTTCGATGGAAAATATCAGACAGAGCTAAAGGAGGCGGTTTCTAAAATTAAAAACAAAGGATTGGGAGATCAGGGGGGGTGGCTTACTTTTCCACCGCCGATCGCTTCTGAGATTTGGACTGGTAGTTGAGAGCCATCTTGGTTTCCATGCCAGTGTAGATAGCGACACCTTAATGAAGTAAAAACGCAGTTTAAGACACACAAATCAATAAATCAAACTGAAAGGTTTTGGTGTATTTTGTGAGTTACCGTAGATATATTCAGTGTTTTTAAGCGTCGCTCCACGAAGCAGCAAGTTTTGAGACGCCAAAGACCTACGGAGGACAAACACTCTTTGTGCTGTTGCTTTGGTCATTAATGAAGAGAATAATAATAATTATTATTATTTTTACAAAACCAGATGAAGAAACTAAAAAATAAGCACTAACTTTCTGCTGCATCCAAATACAATGAAATGTCACACAAAGTACTACTCCAAGGAAATAAATTACATTCTTAAATCCACACATTTTTACACACTGCTCTAAATTCTTGCATTAGTATATGTTATAATGAAAATTAGAGTCCTAAAATTTGCCTGAAACAAACTGTGTCCAACAGATATTTACTAGAGACAGTTTTCTCGTTATGTTTGGCGTACCTGGACACAGGCTCATTTCCCATGTAAATGTTGATATTGCCCCTAAATCTGGATGAAAAAGAAGTGAGGTCAGACATGTTTCTGATGTAAATTTAAACCGTGTGCGTCTGTTTTACTGACTTGTACAGGTCTGGCTGCGGCTGTTCACAGTCGATGGTGGCGTGGATGCAGTTGACCTCTTCCTCTGTTTTGTAAGCTTTGGTGTCTTGAACTGCGTGGTACGTCTGTGAAAAAAGGCTGTAAGTTTATATCTGAAGAAGAGAAAGAGTACAAGTGGTAAAACCTTGAAAATGTGATAAATGTTTCCGCATATTTGGGATTTTGTGTGAGAAAGCAACACAAAGTTGCACATAAGTGTGGGAAAAGTAAAATAATCCATTTCTTATGGTTGTGTGGGAAAAAGCATTTGATCTGCTAACATTTAGCAGATCAAATGCTACGTTTTTGTATCTGAACTACCAAAAAATACAACTAATCTGTGCAACTACCTGAAATTTGAAGCAGAAAAGTATCTAATGCCGAAATTACTAGGAATATATACTTTATATAAGCTTATTTTTTTTGGTAGAAATTTAGAAACCATGTATAATTTTACTTTTATTTCATCATAAGTTTATTCTGTGCTCCTGTATGCAATCTGAAACAGATTAAATGTGAAAAACACAAAATATTATCTGCATAAAGCCCACCTTGTGGCTGCTTTCCCCGTCCAGGCTGGCCGTTGTAACGTAACACGTCCCGTCATCTCGAGACGAGGACAGAAGAATGAGATCGCATGGAAAGGACTCGTCTTCCTTCACGTACACCACATCTCCGACCTGAAGGACAGAGAAAGTGAAGCTCATTAATCTACAGACCCAGGAAGCTTCCTTGCTCTGGTTAGCTTCCGCGAAAGTTTTACGTATCAGAGTAATCAGTCTGAGTTACAGTCACGCACCGTAAGCTTGCGACTGGGTTTGCAGCTCAGTTTCCCGTGCTGCACCACCTGGACCAGACACTGGTTGACAGCTTTGTCTGCTTTATGTCTCAACCAGTCCTCATAGCCCTGCAGGACACACAGAGGAAGGGCTGTTGGATGCGTGGCATTGAAGCTGATGTGACGCGCAAAGCAGAACAATCAGGGCTCACCTGTTTAATGGCGGTCACGATGATGACAAAGAAGAGCGGCAGCCCGCTGGTGACTGGACTTGTGGGAGTATCGATGATTAGCTGTGGTCACAAACAAAGATTTTAAAGATGATAAAGGACTGTAGAGTACACAAAACTAAAAACTGAGTCATGTTGTCTGTTGTTCTTTCAGAAAATTGTTTTATTTTTGTCTGTACTCCAGTTAGTGATTAATCGACTACTAAATTATTTTAATAATCACTTAATCACTATTAATCTAATTAAACAACAACCCTGATAAAGGTCTCAATAATAAAAATAAAACGGGACACACTATATACACACCTGAACCAGAAAGATGATGAGAAAGTAGAAGTTGGCCACTCTCCTGAACTGCTCAAACATGTTCTTGGGGATGAAGTTCCAAAAAGTGTACTGGAAACACAAGAGGTGAAATATCCAATCTGCGTGTGAATTGAAGGTTTGGTGCAAAAACAAGTAACTGATCAGCAGAAACAAATCCAGCAACAAAGAAACATGACAAAGTGTTTTCCTTTCAGTCAGAAAGTAGGTGAAATGCTGTTTCTTTTACAGAAGCGTTTTAGTCCAGTGTTCTGTTGCAAAGTATAGATCAGCCAGACATGTTTTTGTGTGTCTACACTTTCACCGACCTTGGAGGAAACTATTCTGTTATCTGGAAACCTCTGCTGAATGAACGCCTCAGCTCCTGGAGGAGGCTCCTTATGTGCAATATAAACTGTCCTGGTGTCCACACAGTTCTCCTCCCCAGCACACTGCAGGAGAAAGAAGACAAAAAAAAAAAACGAAATAAAAGTCAAACTGCAACACAAACATGAATGTTTTAGTGTCGCTGCTCTATTTATTCAGCCTAAATCGACCCCAGTGGGCTTCTCAGACATTTACAGAGGGCTACAATGAGTTAGCGAATTGTTCGTAATGAATGAGAGTTTTTGTTGCCAGGGATACAAGGACGTGCATGTGACTCGGCCTGGAATGCAGCAGGAAACGTTTTCACGCGCTCCCCCACACACGCATCTTCACAGCGTGATGAGAGAATGAGAAAAGTTTCATCCATTGGTTAGACGCTGTGATTTCCTTTTCAATATGACAAGGAAAATTATCCACATCACTTTCTTTTATTCAGAAAATCTAAGATATTAAACACAATTAATGACACAAAAGCCTCAAGCTTGCATTTAGTTTCTAGTAGCATCCAGCTGTACCAGGAATAGATTTTAAAACATGTCCAATCTTACAGACAAATCTCTTCCTTTCAGTGAAAGAGGACATGAAAGCATACGGCTTGCCAAATTAAGTCGCCCCCACAGAGTTGCTGTTCCCTCTTTCCTCTCCCACCTGCCCGCTCCGTCTGCTTCACCTAACATCCTTTTGCATGTCCTCCTACCCTGAGGCACGTGGTTGAACAGACTTTGACTAGAGAATGAAAATCGAAACCAAAACATACGGGCTGCAGGTCATTTCACGGCAGTAGTAGATTTAAATCTGACAGAAAATGAAGAAACTTCAAGATTGTACATTTTTATGCATCAAAGTGTTTGTGACCTTTATCTCGATCAAACACATCCTGCTCACTAATTTGTTGTCGTTCGAAAATGGTGGTTGTTCTTAGCTTTTACTTAAAAAACGATCACTGATCTGATTCAAATCCCAATAACTGGATTTTGCATCATGTAGCTATTAATAGCACACTACTAAATAACTGTTTAGGGTTATAATTGGCAAAAACAGGTTTTAATTTATCATAAAACCTGTAGTGAGCAGAACGGCAGGCATCTGTTGCTGCTGCCAGTTTTCCCAGTAATGCTTCTTTATTGGTTTTCTCACCTCCCTCCATCACCACAACCTAGACAGCCTTGAAGGCAATCCCTGCTATATCGATTATGCTCCACTTTCATCCGGATTTGAGCTTTTCACATGAAAGCCCGTCTGCATTTAATCAAATAAAAAAGCGTCCTTACAAAATAAACGCTGGACTCGTAACCCAGAGACGTCTCGGCCCCTCGGCCTTCAGGTGTAACCGGAGACTTTAAGCTATTCTGGAGCACGATAATAACTTTTAGTGGCGTTTTGTGTTTCAGGATGCGGAGGACTTCAGGAGTGTATTTATAGTTGGGAGGGAAACGTGTGCAGTATGGAGAGAATGATGGGGAGAGCACAGAGGCTTTGTATCTGTCCATCTCACTCTGCGTCCGCATCTTTTCTTACGAAGGCAACCCTTCAGGGATCGGCCCTCAGAGGCCAACATCCTCACGGCATCAAACATGTATGAGAGGCGTAGCACAGGAGCAGACAGAGTTACTTCTGTAGTTGCTCCTGCAAATTACTGTTATATATTTAGACAAACTACCCGTCATTAGTTCATCAATTATGTGTAGATTCTGTGTTGATCTGCATCTTTCCCACATTGAGCTGTTGAAGGAAGTGCTATTGGCATTAATTTAACCCTAAAACCTTAAAAAGGTGAAATCAGAACAGTAAATGTTGATTTTTAAATGTACTACCAATGTTGCTAAACATCACTTTAGGTTTAGAAAGTTACTTTGAAACTCTGAATTACTCAAAGTTTGGTATATAAAAAAGAGTTAAGTGAAAGTATTCTTTAAATATCGACTCAGGTTGATGATCTTATCAGATTTTTTCAAAAAAATCAAGTTATATTTGTTATGCAATACCCATAAATAGTCACAGATGAAGAAAAATGGCAAAATATCAATTATTCATTGCATCAGTGAGATTTTAGTCATCCAATTTCAAAGTGCGAGTGTGCCAGTTCTTCACAAATAGCCCACACTGCTCTATCGAGCATTAGAGCCAGAAAACTCAAGCCCTGCTGTGATCAGGAATGCATAGTAAACAGGAAGAGCTGGACCCACCCACCCACCCACTCGCACTGACTGCCACGCTTTCTGGAAAAACACCCACTTTAAGTTTGACCAGCCCCAGATCCACCCACCCACACCAACAAGAAAAAGAAGAAATCAACTCCAGTTACTGAAGGTTTTTAAAGCTGCAAGACCGAGAAAAGGCTGTCGATGCTTTTCTCACTGCTTCTACATGAAAAAGCAACAAAGAAGAAAATTCTATTTTGTGAATGTTTCAAAGCAAAGATCAGGAAAAGACACCCTGAATAAATACAAAGGCCATTGTAAAATAACTATTTTGTCCTTGAATAACTGCTTGTGCCAACCTGATGTTTGCTAAATAAATTTTGATGGCTCCTTTTTTCTCTCATCAGTACAACTCACATTTTCCCAGATTTTTTTGTTGTTGACAGATGCAAGAATACAATCAGAGATGTGTGAAGTTTACTTGGTAAACTTTTTGTAATTTTGTCTCTTTAGACTAGAGCATCAACTTGAACTTGCATGTGAAAGGTCAAATCTAAGAGGTTAAACTTTTTTTCTTTTCTTTCTCTTTTTTTTCCAAATTGCTCTACAAGCAAAAGCCCCAGAAAACCCTTTGTGACACTGACATTGGGGCCCTGTCACCAGAGCTAATTCTGCATGACGCCTGCCAAACCCTGATAACATTTGGAGGACACTGAAAAAAATAAATAAATCACAGTAAAACACACAAACCCATGTTTGTCTGCGGCTTCACATGACCGTGTTCTTGTTTCAACTGGTGATTAATGTGGTTTATCTCCCACTGCAACAGGGAGAATCCCCAAAAAAACTAAAACACACCTAATTTATGCACCATTTATCTACTTTGGGTGTCCAAGGATGATGCTTGCACGCCACAGTTTGCTCTCAAACTCTACTTAGCTAAAAAGGTGGCAGGAAAAAACCTTTTCTAAATAAATACGGCCATGAGGGTGTCATAACACGCACTGACAAGGATTTAGAAAGAAAAGAAATTGTAATTTCATCATAAATTTGTTGAATATTTTCTACCTGTGACACCCAGTCTGTGTGTGGCAGGCTGGGAGTGCGTTTGTGTTGCTACAGCCACAGATTAGAAAGCAGCTGTTCTCCCCATCTGTCTCGTTCAGCCTCAGCCGGGTCAACAGGCCAGGCAAAGTAAGATAATAATAAATCCCCATCATCCACCTATGAAAAGTCACTGTTCTGCCTTCAACCGTGACAGAAGGCGTGGGCTGTTTGGAGATTCAAGACTTAATGCATAATCATTTCTTTCAGTATTTCATACAAAATAAACATTTTTCTTACCAAGTGCAGATTGTCAGAAAAAAAAGGTACAGGCTTAAATGCTTTAAAAAAAAAGGATTGGAGGAGGTCTGATTAAAACTGCATTTGCTGTTTTTAAACAGGTCAAACAGCTTTCAAAGTTCATCACAAGTCAGTCGATTGTCAGATACAAAAATTAACACAGTTGGACCCCATCTGTTTGCAGATTAACCTACTGGAGGATTTATCTGTGGAACATAATTTTTAATTATTTATTGGACTTTTTTTTCCAGAAGTATATCTAAAATATTGTAAACAAAATCCAGATATGGAAGCTAAAATACAGAGGCACTACTGACTGCCATTTGGAAAGCACCCAATCTGGGGAGCTGCATCAATTTTCATCATAACTCCAGGCAGGCAGATGAAGAACAAACGAAGGCAAACCCACATGAATCCTCTCAAAAAGTACATCCAACTTGGTTAAGTGTTCCTGCAAATGACTGCAAGTAAGTAGGTGACCTGAATGCAACAGCTTAAAAGTGATGCTCCTTCCTGGCAGCTGCAGAAAACAGGCTGGGAGATGACGTTACCTTCAGTCTCCAACAACAGTAAGAAATGGCAGAATGCAGAGAAAACGTGCTGAATAAACTAATTACTCCACAATAGACAGGATAATTATCCCTTATTTTAAGCAAACTTGACTTCAGGTTATTCAAAGGAACATAAAATTGTCCTTGAGTTATTTTTCATAAAAAACAAGTATATAGTTTCACCTATAAAACTTGCTTTTTTCAATATCTCATCAAAATGTAAGTAGTAAATAATTTCTGATGGAGTCTTGGAATCTTCATAATATGAAGATATCACAATTTTATTGCATCTTCTTTCAATATAGAAAATTTTTCAGTGTTTTTTTTTCCTTTTGCGATGGAAAAATTAATTTTTCCAACTGATTTTTAGACAATGAGACTGATTTACCAATCTTAATCACATGACATCACAGCCATTTGTTTTTTAAAATACCAATGAAAGATGGTGTTTTAGAATAAATAAAACAAGGAAACTACAATTTCTCATAAATGCTGCCATTTTTCATCCTTCGTCTTCAATACACACTAGAATGTAAATGTGTTGTTGGTTCAGTTCAATTATAGACTGTCTAAACTTGACACTCAGTCAAAGGAAGTACAGTGATGAAAATTGTATTGCCTGTATACAAACTGAAAGTTAAAATAAATAACTTAAGAGTAAAAACAAGAAAATATGTGAGGGTAAACGGCAGGTCAGAAAAATCTCAGGAGATTATTCATCATGAGATGACGAGAACTGAAATAGACGTTCACCTGCTTCCATTACCAATGTGGGTCAGAAGAGGTTTTTCCTTCCTACTATGTGTCCGAGACATTTGGTATAGCTTTGTTTTTGATATTAGGATCAAAATGAGTGCATTAAAATATTACAACATGCTACATCTACAATTTGAAACAAAGGAATCCCTCCTGCACTGTGTTGCATAAACCTCGTTTTCACACACGTTTCAGGCTTTTATATTAATCTTTACATCACGAGAAAGTGCAAATATTCACTGAGAAAGAATTGAAGAACTCATTAGAGATTGA